AAAACAACTAATTACTTACACGGAAATAACCCGGACCAGGAGTTCATTAAGTTTAAACAAATTAAGTCAAGGCAGGTCTATGGGCTGCGTACAAATGAACTAAGTTAACATAACTTAGTTTTATAAGTTAATGGGTAGGCTTCCACATCTGTTGGCACAAACAACCAAATGAAAATATCGATATTCAATAAGTTATATCGTTTGGTTAGTTAGGTAAGGTTAACCTAACCTAACGATAACTTAATCGAATAATCGATATTTTCATTCGGTCGTTTGTGCCAACAGATACAGAAGTCTACCCCAGTTAATTTCTAAGGCAAAACGTCAGGGAAGATACTAAACTACGCAGTTAAACTGAAAGTGTAAGTTATGAACCGCTTTCGGTTAAGTTACCCCTAACTTAAGACCTTACCTAATTCTTCTTAATTTTACCTTGTTTGTAACCATTGGCCTAGTCGACAACGCAGTGCTTTTAGAGTTTAAACAACCCATAACTTGATCTTTCAAAATTCCGGGTCAAAGGGTTTGGTAAACTAGAATTGTAGTGTAAACAAAGGCCTATCGAATAAAGGCCCACTCTTTAAACCAATTAAACTTAACTATAGGCCTAAAGCGTCCATCTTCAAATACCCTAGTAGGTTTTGGAACTATTAGACTACACTGATAATTTAGACGTATGTAGGGATATATAATATTACGAATTCAGAAAAATAATGTTTACAGTGTTTTCCCTATCATGCTAATAAAATTCTAAGTTAACCTATTAATTTATTGTTTATAACAATCCTTACCTTTACTGTGACTCTGGGGCCCTTCTTTGAGTTATCATCTGATGAGTAAACACCGACAAACAAACAAAAAAGGACGGAAAATAAAGATATGTTCATTTTAAATATTGAACAGTCCTGTAAAAAATTGGGGACTGTCACAACGGGGAACGGGCTTCTCGGCTGTTGTCAGTCGTGAAAGCGGAAATGAAATGGCAAGCAAGGAACTAAGTAGTGATGTGACGAGTTGAGTTGGCGAGTCGAGTTGACTCGAGTCAAGACCCGAGTCGAGTCAACTCGAGTCAACTCAATTCCAACTCGAGTTCTTTTACGAACTCGTACGGAGATTGCCGAAGCTACACGAACTCGTAACGTTACGAGTCCGACTCGCAAAAGCCGAGTCAAGAAACCGAACTCATACGGAGAAAGCCGAACCTTAACGAACTCGGGACGTAACGAGTTGACTCGAGTTTACTCGTACTCGCTTTCGGCCAATAGCGTCACAGCTTTACGAGTCGACTCGCATAGATTCAACGCTATTGGCGGAACGCGAGTTGAGTTGACTCGTATAACTGAAACCCTATTGGCCGGTACCGAGTCGGCCGACTCGCAAAACTAACGAACTCGTACGGAGAATGCCGAACTCACACGAACTCGGAACGTCTCGAGTCGAGTCGAGTCGACTCGTAAAACTGACACGCTATTGGCCGGTACCGAGTCGGCCGACTCGCAAAACTAACGAACTCGTACGGAGAATGCCGAACTCACACGAACTCGGAACTTCTCGAGTTGAGTCTGACTCGACTCGTAACTCGAGTTCACGGCAGTTGGCGAGTCGAGTCACTCGAGTCAGGAAAGTACTCGACTCGTCACATCACTAGAACTAAGGAAGGTGAAGGAACCTTGCTAAAGGCACAACAACAGAGAACAGACAAGAAGACAGAAAGCGACAAGCGTTCGCCCCACTCCGGTCCGGTTGGTGGTTGGTGCCATGCAATTGGTCCACGTTTTAAGAAATCAGTGTTACCAAACTGAACTCTTTTTATTCGTCAGTTTGAAAAATTACCCTTGCACGAACACGATTAATCTGACCTACCGTTACAGCACAAAGCAGTGAAATAGAACCATATAAGCTATTACTTTTTACAAGTTTGCATCAATTTAATTGTGTTACTCAAAACTGACTTTGTCATCAATTTTTTTTAGAACATTGGTCTAAATTATATAGCAACTGAATACTGATGTAGGAATGTAGCTGAGGGAAAGTATAATAACTTTGAAACACCGTTGCCTAATAATGCCTGGACCCACTCACTAAACTGATCCTGCATGTATCAAAATAATCCAGGCAACAAAGATATTGTAGCGTAGCGGGAAAAAATCATGATAAGCCAAATTTGGTACAGTTGTAGGGGAAGGGTCCCTCCCTAACATACATACAAAAAGTACCGACCGGTGGGAGTGGAGCTAAATGGGGCTGGGGCTCTAAAGGTCCCTTTTTTAGGTTTTTCATAAATAACTCGAAAACTATCAACTTTGTGTTAGTGTAGACACAGAAAACTTCTCTGTGGTGTAGACACTATACTAAATTAGCAAATTAAAGAAGATTAAATTTCCTACAAGAAAAGCCACATGATGTAACTATTTCGGTTCAACCATCTACAAGAAATAATAAGTATCTTATTCAAATACTTCTTCCATCAGAAATACATGGTTTTTGTGGATTTCAAGAATATCAATTATATTGACATTAGGGGGTATAGGCTTTGCATATGTATTATATTGCAAATTTACATGTAGGTCTATATCTTATGGAAGAAGTATTTGAATAAGATATTTAGTTTATTTCAACAAAGTTACATCATATAGGTACTTTTCTTGAAGGAAATTTAATCTTCTTTAATTTGCTAATTTAGTACTGCATACAAAAAGTTGATAGTTTTCGAGTTATTTACAAAAAAAAACTAAACAAGGGACCAGTAGCCCCCTTAGCTCCACTCCCACCGGTCGGTACTTTTAGTATGTTGTTTAGGGACTTTCCCTCTACAACTGTACAAAATTTGGCTTAGGCCTAAACTAATTTTTTCTCCTATTTGGTATTTTTTTGTCTTCTTTGCCTGGACTATAACTCCTACCTTAATACTTTCTTATTAATTGGCGACCATACAAAGTAGGTATTTTAAGCAAAGTATGTTGCCATCTTGTCACCGTTTCTCATTTTCGTTTTGTTTGTTTACTAATTCGTCATTGTTATTCACTCAACCATTGTATTACTATAGTAAGCAAGTCTTGTATGTTATTTCATAAAACTGTACTAAATTATCAAAATGGAACTGTTTTTTGGGATGTAAAGTAAAAATAAGTAACGTCAGGGGCGGCTCCAGAGGGAGGGTATAAGCCTTGACCTTCCAAAGTTTTGGCAGATATTTATGTAATTACAATTACTAGTAAAAAAAACGCACCTCAATATCTTCCCTAACTACTGATGTAATGACTAATGTACCTTATTACCATGTGTATAGAGAATAGATGTCCACAAAAAGCATTAACTCTATTTTGCATTTAAATTTAAAAATTTCCCACCCCCGCGAAATCTCTCCGAACCCCCCATTCCTCAATCAAACTCCTCCTCAATCCTTGTCAGGCCTACCCCAAAAAATTATTACTGGAGCCTCCCCTGCATAACGTTGGGACAGAAATAGAAACTTCACAGAAATTACCCATATTGAAACAGAATTATTACACATTTGGGGAAAAATACTGTTGGTAGTATTTGGCCAAAAGGTCAAAGGTCTCGCTCAGCTGGTCATAGTCAAAGGTCATATGTTCATATGATTGCATTAGGTATCTGCTGCAGTAATCAGTTAAGCAAGGCAAAACAAATATAAATAAACTTCCTTATTGAATGTGTGAGGAGATAATATAGTAGTAGACTAACTGTAAACATATTAAATAATAGACTGGAAGTATTAAAACTTTAATATATTGATCGAAAAATCCCTAAGCTTAAACATAAAATTATGAAGCATCGATTCTAAATACCACCAACACTAGTGAGTCCTGGACAATGGTATTGGTATCGAGAATGGATCGTCAAAAGTCTATACCGATACCCAACGCATCTGTGAAATTAGCGCAATTAGAAAACTACCACTATTTTCGCAATCGCGCAAGACGACAATGACGCTTTTGTTACCGTGGAAGTCCATGATGATGTCTACACGGCCGTGGGAGATAATCATAATTTGGCTGCGATTGTGGAAGACGACGATAATTTCTACACGACCACATGATTTTCATGATTTTGCCACCATAGCGCATAACAATTCTGTGACCGTATGAGTCGATGATGATTTCTATTCTACACACTCGCAGGATATGATCAGAATATTGCCGCATTTGCGGAAGCTGATGATGTTTCCGTTACCGCGAGGTGTATTCAGGATTTTGCCCTGACTGCGGGAAACGGGAGAAGATGATGACCACGTGACCAAAGGAAATGATCAGAATTTTGCCGAGATCATAATGTCTACCGGCCGTGAAGACAATAATGATGGACGACCGTTATATTTGTGATTTGGTGCATTCGCGGGATACACTGGATAAGGTTTTCATGACCGCAGAGTTATTTATGTTACAGTAGTATAGAGTTTATTTATTGATTGTATATAGTTATGCAAAATGTTACAGAACACCTTCTAATACAGAAGTAAGAAGGTATAAAACACACAGTTTTTAGACAAGTAATTATATTTTAATAAAAAAAAAAAACAATTTTTTACTACAAAGAACACAATTTAACAACACAATGTCTTAACTATGGTAGTTAGTTTACTTCAAAATGGCAAAAAAACTCTTTAAACCTAAATAAAAGTTGTCTTTAAGGGTTGTTTGTTGTATGAAAATTACAGTACGGTAAGTAAATTGTGGCACAAAGAGAAGTAAAAAAAACAAAACGTTAAAGTAGAATAAAAACAAAAACTACCCTAAAATTTGGTTGAAGCCTCAAGTTTAAAACTAACCTTTAATCTTAAATTAAGTGTAAGTATGGCAAATATTTTATTAACCATTTAATACAAAAATTATAACTTAGTAGAACGTTGAACATAAAATGACAAAACTATTAACAGTAAAGTTGACAGTTAAAAAAAATCATCAGGACAAAACTTAGAATATAGAATGACATCAAAAGTAAAGTAACTTGCATTTTAATTAAAAAAAACTTAATTTTTGTACAAAGTTTCAGTTCAAAATCAATTTATAGACATGGAAGACTAGACATACTGATACTCAATTAGTTACTGTATCAACGTGAAACTTATCAAGTTTAATTTGCAATAAAACAAACTTGTGTCTTGAAAGATTTATTACCCAGTAACAGAAAATGTTTGTTGAAAAAAGTTGTTTTGTTAAATATTCTTAAATCAAATTTGTTATTTGATGAATAGTAATTCATTGTAAATTGAAATATATTTCTTCCAAGTGAGCAAAAAGTAGCTTGTTTTAAATAAACACTCTTAATTAAAGTATGTTTTATTCATCGTCTAAAAAAACCTACACTTTTACTAATCGTACATTATAAATCAATTATTCTTTCCGTCACATGTATAAAGCCTCCAGGAAAATAACAGTGGTCAAATAGTAAGCGTAAAATATTTTACAACCATTTGAATGTCCTAAATAATTTTACAACCCTATTAATTACAAAGGTACACATCTTAAAACTACTTATTATTAAGTCACAGTTAACAACTACTTATTTAAACAGGGTGTAGTAGAGTCTAAAATATCAGTACTATTTGGAATTTCCAGTCAAAAAACTGATGAAAAATTAATATTTCCGTTGGCTAGATTGACATAATCTTTCATGGTGTTTGCCTAATTTAAGGCAACTACAATAATTGTCAATGTTTACAATTTACAAGCAATTATCACAAACAAACCCTTTGATCAAAAAGGTTAGGGCTTTCATTGAGTCATTAATAGTGGTAACTTACAAATAATTTCTTCATCTAGGTTCTAGAACACCCTGTTGAACTTGTTGGAGCCTGAGGTAAAATTTTGCTTCCAATGTTCTTTGAGAGTTCTGAAAAAAGTTGGGTTTCAAATTGGCCCAAAATACTTTGAACATTTGAACTAACATCAAACTTACATCTTAATGTGAAGCAGAACCCTACATTTTTCCAATTTGTTGTGCTTTTCAACACTTGGCAACACTGGTTTTACAAAGACTAGAAGCTGTGCTTTATTCATCTGGTTTCACAGCCTTGTATTCCTTGTGTTTGGACAATTCTAATGACAATTAATTAGCGGAAGAGCACATTGTAAATTAACAAGCGAATCTAAAACATTACCTCTAGTGACTTGCGAATATTATACGAAAAAAGAAATAGACTAACTTAGGCCTGAGAACAAAATTAATCTAAGAAAATAAATCCAGTTATTTTACAGCAGACAAGTTTAAAACACAAATAAATAGAGATGTTTGACAGAGTGAAGAAGTCCTCTTGTAGGAGCGAAATATCATATAAATTGTGTTTTCAACTGTTCGTATGCTACCTCAACTAACTGGATATATTTTCTCGGATCAATTGTTTTTGTTAATTGCGTATACATTCCTTCTTCCTTAATGTATTCATAAGCCAGGTGCTCTTTCTTCCAAAAGTAACTTTAAGTGACTTGACTTTGCATTATCTGGAGGAAGGGTGACAAGGAAAGCCAAGTAGCTAGTTGTTAAGAAATAAAAAAATCAACTATTTTACCTAAGAAAATTAAGAGTCCAGGGGCTGATAAGATATACTAAAAGGTCAAAATACATAAAACTGATGTTTCATCGTAATATAGGTTTTCTTCAAAGGGTAGGTTGAAGTTAACTGACATTTTCTCAATCTAATCCCTGAAGAAGTCTACAAGGATAAAAATCAGTGTTTCATGACTTTTTATTGTGTATCTATTAGTGCCTGGATTTGATTTATTCGGGTAAGATAGCAAAACTCCCCCTTTTCAAAATAATTTGAGTATTTTATGATTTGTTACTAAATAAGACTCAATTTGAAGAATCATCTTGAAACTCTGGCTACATAAGGCAATAAACTTACGGACTCCAACACATTAACAACTATGAACACATGTCATTACGAAAAAATAAATATCAGTTCTGTACAAAGGCACTAAATTGATCAGCCGACTATCTGCGACTGCGTCGGCTCAACTGAGGGGAAGGGGAAAAGTTAGGGTCTCCGTAGACGGGCTCTTCATCAGAAAACGGCTGGCGGTAGACGAACGACCTCTGCTCGGAAAAATGTGGCGACGGAGACCCATTGATCATGGTAGTAGCAGTGGGAGTGTTGGTGGCTGTAAGATAAAAATATTTTTACAGAAATTTGATGGGTTTTGGTATATTTGTAACAGTATAATATCACTTGTTTTATTCTTGAAGGAGTGATAATTTAATGGAGAACGAATATGTTTATTTACAAAATGTAAAATTATATCAATGGAAAAAAAGAGAGAGTATGTACAGTTGTTTACTAGTAGAAACTAGAAACACAAACATCTACAGCTATCCTAAACACAGGTGAACCATATTCAAGAAAAGAAACATCCCTAATACACGTGGACCTATATCTGCATTACAACCATTTATTGCCAGATAAATTTAAACAATTGGCAGTGAGTGTCTTAAAAGTCAGAACTGGATCAATATTGGATTATTATTGCAGAAGACTTTAAGCAGAAACTTGTTTGTGTATTTGATGTTTTCAAATGTTTCTGTAGCTAGGCCTATGTCATTTGTTTAAGTATTTGTTATATGCATGTGTTTAGATTCAAGACATTATAAATTGGCAAACACCCACTCCTGCTGTAAGCAATTAATGTAACATTTTTGTGTCAATAAATGATCTGTATCCCTTAATTACGGAGAACTTTCTTGCAGCCGATAAACGAAGATGGTAAAATAAAAATGTATTAGTGCTGCTTTTATTGGTTTGTTTATTGCAATCAAATCCTTTTAACTTTCTTTCAGAGAAACCCAGTTTTACAGTTTAAATTATAAAAACTAAGTTTCAATTTCAGAGATAATGTTTAAACAAAATGTCAATTGTAAAGGTCAAGAACTGGCAGTTAAAAATATTAATTTACTGGTTAAAATCAGTAGAAAATATCTTTTTCAACTTAAATATGAAGTATAAGGGAAAACGCAATATCGTGGGTATATAAAAATGTTTGGCCATATTCCAATTAAAATTAACATCAACAGATATTATTCAATGTAGGCTACAAGTTATTGCTGGTTATACTCAGGAAAAATGCACTTACCATAGACAGCAGGAGGTGGTGCTAGTACTCGTACCCAGCTGAATACACTTGCTGAAAAAAACAAACAAAAACATGAATCATTGCTTGCCCCAAAACAACTGGTAAAGAGAGTTTGTTTTAAGATAAAATATAACATAAACACCTAACTTAAAGAGCATTTTGTAGACAGTAAAGTTTTAATTAGTCAGATGTCAAACCTAAATCTCAAATCTACTAAATCTTAGAAAGAATAAAAATGTTTAGGTTCCATTGCTTGAATCCAAGAGTTGAATTTTTAATACCAGAACTTGTGTGTGGAATCTGAATTGAGAAGTTAAACACAATTTTCCTTGTTGATTTCTTTAGCATAACTTAAATAATTTACAGTTCTTTTACTGGACGTTGTTGATTTAGGCTAATAGGATTATAGTAGACAATAACAGCGGATATTGCTGTTATATTGGTGTAGGCTACAGTTTGAGGAATTAATTATGAGTTTTACAGTTGATTAAATATAAAGTTATTAATGAAGATATAGAGATCTATTTTCACAATACACTCGACATGGAATTGTAGATACAAGTGTTAACCTTTCATTAACGGAAACAATACGATCTAATCATAAACAATAAAGTCTCCTAAGTTATATAACCAAACAGTAAATTACAAATCAAGAAATTAACCCTAAAATAAAATAAACAAAATTTTGTCAACACTAGCGCCCAGTGTCACCATACACTAACTAGACTCAAAAAATGAGCTTCAAAATTTACATTGGGATGAGAAGTCTACTTGTGTTGATTAGTCTATGTCCGAACTTAGGTGAAAAGAGTATAGCAATTGATACTCACAGTACCAGATGACCAGAAAGATGACAATAAGAGAGATGATGGTGGAAGTTGTTCCCCACAGTTTCTCTAACTCCCACACCCACCTGGAGGCTGGTCTTGCCAAGCAAGGTGAAGCTAAGCCTCCCCTCACATTCATGTGTACAGGCACCTGTTGAACAAGATGAAAATATTCATTATCTCATCCTAAATGTTTGAATTCATAAAGAGGTTTTTAATACAGTTTTTTGGGTGGTATGATAAAATAACTAAATAGCTTCAGAACTTTTTTGGACAGAAATATTGCAAAATTATTACCATTGAAGATGTTTGCAGTCATTGGATAGTATAAAACGTCACAATCAAGAATACAAACTTAACCCTCATTGCTAGAACACAGTGTTTACACCTTATTGTAACATATCAAGCAACTACTTAGGAACTATAATAATTTTGCCTACAACTTACAGTAATGTTTTGGCCAGTGAGCGGAGAGAACACGTACAGATACAGTTGCCTCTCAGGGCTAAGAGCGTTGACAGTTACTTGGAAAACCACAGTATTGGCGTCTGGACGCTTTGCCTCGACCACGGACAGGTAAGATCCATCGGAGGAAGAAAACACCTGTACATACACAATGATTTGATTTGATTGAGATCAAAGCTAAGCCTTTATATAAAAATGAACAATATGCACAAACATACTCAATAATAAGATAATAAGATTCAATAAGATTTATTGCAGCCATTAAACATAACATTTTGTAATAGGTAGTGTTACAATAGTACTTAAAAATAGATCATACATCAATTATAAACTTCAATACATACAATATCCTATTAAGAATCTAAACATGATATGTCACTATTTAAAAATTCTTCCTGCGTGTAGAATGCTTTTGATTTTAAAAACTCAGTAATTTTTCTTTTAAATTGGTTTAGAGGTAGTTCACGAAAACAAGTGGGTAGCTTGTTGAAGAAAATATGTTGTATGTAAAAATGGCTATTTAAAGTTTTTGAAAGTCTGATTTGAGGTGTGACCAGGTTGTTTTTGTGCCTCGTGTTGTATGGATGAGAATAACTAGAAAATTTTAAGGGGTGGTTTTTTATATGAATTAAATTACAAAAAATGTACATAGATGGCAGTGTAAGCAAATTTAAATTGGAAAAGTGATCCCTACAGGATTCATGTTCTTGCAATCCTAGCATGGCTCTAAGAGCTTTCTTTTGCCAAACAAATGCTTTCTGAGCTAAGTGTGAACCACCCCAGAGACGCAAACCATAAAGCAGCTGTGAGTGAAACAAACCGTAGTAAGTCATTTTTAGAGTGTTAAAACTCACACATGATCTAAGTTTTCTCAAGAGACAGGTTATTCTAGCCAATCTTTTACAAAGTTGTGTAATGTGGTTATCCCAGCTTAGTCTGTTGTCAAGATGGATGCCTAAGAGTTTGACTGTTTTATAAGCATCAGTGGGTTGATCTTTTTTTAATGAAAAGTAGATGTATTCTGTTTTTTCCTCATTGATAGCCAAATTATTGATTTTGCAGAATTTAGCACAGTTTAGGGCTGTAACGTTTTGTTTTATCTTACTTTATTTTACTTTAATTTGACTGACTCTACTTTACTTGCTTTGACTGTAAGGTCTATGCCTTTTAGTAAAAAATAAAAATAAAGTACTCTTATTAAATGATCACATGTAAGTTAATTGGGCTTGGGCTCTTTAATATCTCAGGGTCGTTTTATGGGTGCGTGGTGGAGCTACATATCAATAAAAAGGCAAATTGATGTTAACATTGGTTTATTAAAAGTTACTTCATTTTACAAAAAAAAAGTTTCGGACAAATTATGATTGAATTTATGATTAATAATCAAGCCTAACTTATATTATTTCAGGGATAGGAACAAAGAGGCTATCCTACACCTAACTTATATTACAGGGTAGGGTGACACAGAGGCTATTGAATTTATAGTTTCTTTTGTGTAATAAATGTTTTTAAGTCTCATATTAAACTTCCTTGTTGTAGAAAAGCAGATTATTATTTCAAAGGGCGTAATTTAATCCCTACTCATTGACTTGCAGCATGTGGTGCAATTTCCTAGTGTACTTACAATTCTCTTATAATTCACTTATTTAATTGAACTTTATTACTGTTTCACTTTTACTATTTGAAATTATAAACATATTTTTAGTACTTCACAATCAATCACTTTTAAAAGATTAATATTAATTAAATTTCATGATAATAAATCGGAGAGCAAAGTCGCAACGCGACCGCTCTGAGCCAAGTCTGGGAAGAAAGGAGACCGATCGAGGCGTCCCCTCTCATGATTTCACGTAATGGCCATCTCCGTCCCTTCCAAAACTCAGAATTTTGGTTTCATTTAATTTTCTATTTTGCTATTGGCTGAGAGCTAACCACGTGACATGGAAAAATCGTCATAGAGGTCAAAATTCATCTTTGCACCTAATCAAAACTCTATGTTTTACATATTTTTCGTCTTCTCTGTACTTTTTTTTTTACTGAAAGATAGCCCCAGATACCTCAGCCATCTTGTATCTAGATATTGATTTTGTTTTGACATTTCAGGTTATGTTTATTACAATTATTATTATTATTGATTTTGATGTTAAAAACTGTTTATTATTTATTAAAAAGTGATTCTAAAACCTTTTTATTCTTGAGAAATTTCGATTTTATTGGTTATTTATTGAGTTACGACGTATTTCATGATCGGTTATTATCCATTGTGCAATGGTGACTTATTATTAATTTCGAAGTTATTACCGGCGTTTAAGTGAGTTGATTTATCGTTTAATTAAATATATATTTGTATTTACCCCTATTTTCCTTTAGATTTATTGTTTTTATGAGAATCTCAGATCGTAATATGCCATCGTACTAGGCTTAGGCCAAGACTGTCTAGGCTAGTTACTTAAAATTAGTAGGCCTATAGCCTAACTAATTCTTTTCCTTTTTCAATTACATAGCCTAAACAAATCCTTTGTAACTCTGGGTGTTATCATCATAAGACCCGTTACAGATACCCCCCTAATTTTAAACAAATTTAAAAAAATTGTTTACATTCTTTATTTTTTTTTATTTTTTTATAAATTACCTATACTGTCAGAGGATTTGTTTGTTTCCTCATCTTAAAACCACCTACCTAACGCTAAACCCTTTTACAAAATTATAAAACATCTTAAAGCTAACATATGATAAGACAATTTGAATGACACAACTTTTGATTATAGGCCTACACACCTTAAATCTACAAAGCACACAATATTCCTTAAAATCTAACAAAATAATCTCTTAACATTAGAGTCCACATGTCCATTTTCGGGTATTAAAATTGTAAATTGATTAAGTGTCCGAGCTTCACTGTGCATTTTTCTTTTTCTGAGTGAAAGTGACTTTCATTGTTTTGCAGACTGCATTATTATAAAACTATTCATGGTAAAATGCTTCAATTATAGTGACTATTTGGGGAATCTTCTTGGTGATGTAAATTCTAACTTTTAATAAGAAGTCCGGATCAATTTTTTCTTTATGTATAAATATACGTAACCAACAACTCATTACTGTTCATTATTATTGACAATTTTTTATTCTTCTTCCTTCTTCTTTATCAGAGCTCATAATATTAAATTTAAACAATGGAGGCCAGATGATTTCAAGACTTTATTTATATTTGAGTAAATATATAAAACATACCTTTCATGATGGTTGTTCCTTACTCTACATTGATGTCCATTCATCTGGTGTCCTTCAGCTCTTTTTCTTCTCCTTCTCAACATTATTTGTCAATATATATTTATATATTCTTCAATGAGTTATCCTGTTGGTTATTATTTCCACATTGATCCTTTGACGCACTTTTACACCACTTTTGTATTCCTGGGTCACTATTCACTTTCTATTTTGCATTTACCATAAATTCACTGTTTATTACTTTTTCACTACTTTCTCACTTTCACTCTGCATGTTTTATGCACAGACTTTTTTCTTCTTTCATTCGCACTTTTAATACTTTTTCACTCCCTAATTTACAATTCAAGACTTAAACCCTCTTAAAACTACCTTATACAATTCAAAAAATATTAATAGAACAAATAGAAAATGTTGATTTTCATTGTCATCGGTTTCTTTATTTAAAACCGACTACAATAACAAAACTTAGGTTGTCTCTTTTTTAAACGTAAGTTTTGCTACTCTAACCTGTTTATGCAATCAGACCTTTATTAATTTTTTTTTTTTTTTTTTATATGACACAGAGTGGTAACACTATTTTGAGGAGTACCAATGAGTTCCTGCTTCTTCGTTTTTTCTAACCCTTTTTATATACAATTTACCCCTACTGTGTTGTTTTTGTATGTTTTTTGTATTATGTACCTACTTAACTAAAGTTTGTTTGTCATAAATTATGTTTTTCCAATATTGTTTTTCTTTTATTCAAATCATTTACTATCATTACTATTACAACAGAATAATATTATCAAACAAAATTTACTTTTACTTTGTGACTTTATAAATAATTATTTATAAAGTTTCATTGGAATAACATGCTTTATAGGTGTATCTTTTCTTGTTTTTTTTTTGCATTATAAGGGCCCAAGCTATTGTTGATCATTCATAGAACTTTTTCAGCTGTGTGACATTGTAAGTCCCTATTATTTTATCTGAATTTAACTCTTTCACTTTATAGGCATTTTCCATTTTGACTTCAACAATGACATATGGTCCAGTAAAAAGCAAGAAGAACTTCTTGATTTTCTTATCCAATTTATTTGACAAGTTATGAGTTTTCACTAATACTTTATCTCCTATATTGAATGTTACTGCTTTGATTTTCTTGTCAAACTTTGCCTTTCTCTTTTGAGCTTTATTCAACAATTTATCCCTTACTAATGTCACACACTGAACATGATCAAACTCTCTTTCAGTAGGAAACTTTATTACCTTTTCTAAAAAGTGAGCATTAACCTTGCCTAACATAACTTCTGCGGGTACATGTTCTGTAACCCCATGTACTGAGTGGTTCAAACAGTTTTCTATAAATTCTAGTACATTAGGCCAATTCGTATGTTTGTTATGACAGTGAATACGAATCATTTTGTTAATCTCCTTATTTATTCTTTCAGTTGGGTTCGACTGAGGATGATACACTGATGTATGTAACGGCTTTATGTCAGAATTTTGCAATGTTGTATACCATAGGTCACTAGTGAATTGACTACCATGATCACTTAAAATTGCTTCTATTTCACCTACTTCAGGGATGTACCTATTGAAAATTTTTGTCAACAAAGTCCTAGTATTAGCACGCTTTATGGGATACATCTTAACATATTTTGAAAATACATCTATTAAGACAAAAATGTATTTGACTCCACCCTGGCCAGTGGGTAATTCTCCTATCAAATCTACTGCTATGAGCTGTTTTGGTCTTTCAGGGACAATTGGTCTTAATTGGTCTTAATCTGCTTAACATTAACATGTTTGGCTTTTTGGCATAGCAAGCATTTTCGTAACTGTTGTTTGATTACTCTTTCCATTGCTGGAAATACACAAAATTCCTTTAAACAGAGATAGATTTTCCCACCCCCCAGGTGTCCATATTT